GCAGGCGCTGTAGGGCGTGCCGAGCAGGCACTGTAGGGCGTGCCGAGCAGGCACTGTAGGGCGTGCCGAGCAGGCACTGTAGGGCGTGCCGAGCAGGCAGGTAGGATTAGTGCTGGCTCGCCCAACGGACCGCTCATGTGAGTCATCGTCTGGCCCCGGGTTTGGCTTAGTACTGGTCTGCCCAACGGGTCTGGAGGGGTTTCGGATTTTTTTTGAGTACTGGTCTCCAAAAGGCCCGGCATTTTTGGCTTAGTACTGGTCTGCCCGTTGTTTTTACTCGATCCATTTTTGACCATCGTAAAGAAAATAGCGAGGACTCCAAACCAAATTTCCGAGCGGAACATATGATCATGAACTCATTTGAGGGATCATTTCAGGGTTATTTTCCTTGAGCAGGGCAAATCCCACCAAATTACATTTCCTGTCTTATGCAGTTTTCTGCAAAAGGCCGTTTCCAACAGCAGGAAGATGAACCTAGATTTTCAGTGATTCGCCCAACCTCGTTTTTTGCTCCGTTTTTTTTTCGGAGCTATCCCTTCAACTTCTTTTAGGCTAGCCGAAGGTTGAGACAGTTGAGACAGCCTACAAGGGAGCACGAATAGATTCCTAACATTAAGCACGTTTTGGCATCCCACACAGCATGACATGGCATGATGTCTTGATTCAGTGACAGTAGCGGAGTAGCAAAGATGTGCCGGGCAAGCGATGGCGTGTATTTCGCTATGCTGTGTGTCTAGCCTTGCCGTGCACTCAGCAATGCGAGAGACTGAAGCTGAGTCGTTGACAACGTGTTTCAGATCAAAAGGTGCTTTTGACAAACGCTGCAACCTCAGATCGTCATAGGTCTGGATGTTTAGCGCATTTATCACATCACTTGTCTACCACGTGACTTGATTACCTCCATAGCAGTGTGAGTCTGTCAGCTGAGAAACCTTGCCTGTTCAAGAAAAACTGCCAAAGGGGAGTGTTTTTTTTCTCAGAACTTACCCCCACCACCAAAAAACGAGGGAGTTTGTGAGAATCCCGGAATCAATGATTAAAGAGACGGATGTGAATCGGATTACTTGCGAGGTACGAGGGCGGCAAGACGACTCAGGTGTGACAAACGCGGCGACCTCAGCTTTGTTTTTCCTTTGGAAATGATGCTCACGCTTCGCTGGGGAGGTTCGCAAGAAAGCCCTGAACTTAGAACTTGTGAGCCTCGCTAGCCTTGTGCTTTTCCATTTTGAGCAGTTTTGCAGATTTGAGTGTCCAGTTTCACAGCTTTTTGCAACCCATGAAATCAGGAAAACAAAGCGGAAGATGAACTGTCCATCGCAGCGTCCAAGATCAATCTATTCAGTCAGAAGGAGAGCTTCGCGCGCGACACAAACTCACCTCACACATTTCCATGTCTCAGCTTGATTCTGCAGGAATGGTGCGGGGGCAGAGAAGATGAAGCTTCGCGGAGACAGAAGGAGAGCTTTACGTATCAACAACACAAATCCATTTTATCCTCACACCTTACAATGTCTCAACTTGACTTTGCAGGAATGGAGAAATTGCCGTCAATCACAGCAAATTCAAGTCGAGCACTCAGATCCGAAGCCTTTCTGCTTTGGGTAGTGTCGTCTGGCGGGAGGGTTGAACCATCAGTGACATGTGACGATGCGTGCAGTTGGTCAGACATGATGAATTTCCGATAGCGTTTTGGAGAAAAGATCTGCCTAGCGTGATAAAGACTGACCGGAGCAGCATGTCGGATCGCGCTGAGAAGCTGGTGGAGGTGTTGACGGCGCTGTCAATGGCTGAGGCCTTGCCGCGCGGCACGGTGAAGGAAGATGTGATAAACTTGGCAGACTGCTCAAGGACATGCGGTCGGAGCTGTTCGACGTACAGAGCCTGCCGAACCTTGGATCAGCTTAAGAGCAAAGACTTTTGGGAGACTGTCCGGAGCCAACGGTTCCCCAAAGTTTTGCATCAGCTTCAGCAACGGCATTACAACTTGAGCAAGAGGTTGGACGAACAGACGCCCTTGGTTGATCTCGTGGACAAGGCCTTACAGGAAGCTAGCGAGTGCAACGACAAGACGCCTCCGGAGGTCACGCTGAAGGCCCTGAATACTCTCGACGAGATGAATAACATTTGCACCCACCAGATCCGGAACAATAAGAATACTGACAGCAACGCCCGCGATGCTTTGCTGCTGAAGCAGGGGGAGATCGCCAAGACGCGTCCAGTGCTGCACGCTTTGCTCCAGGTAGCTGCAGGACCTGAGTCCGCAGCGACCGCAGTGGATCAGAACGCTTTTCTGGACGAGATCGAAGCTGGTTTGAAAAAGAGCAGATTCGATCGAAAGCCCCTTTGCAGAGAGGATTGCGAGCGCTTCCACATCTACCTTAGCGAAGTGCTCTCCGATCCTGAGTATGACTCCAAGGACCGAGCTCGTCCGCTCTTGAAGTCCATCAATGCGCGGCTGAAGCGGATCGAGAACAAGAGTGCCGCGGTCGTTGAGGTGAAGCATGATGCGGGATCGCCCAAGCTCCCTGAGCAAGCGAAGAAGTCTTCTTCGAAGAAGCGAGCTGCTGCAGAGATGACCACGGAGGAGAAGAAGGACGTGCGGCGAAAGCTGCAGAGGCGGTGGCGCAACGCCAAAAGTCTGGAGAAGAAGACTGAGCTGGACACAGAGATTCGTGCTTTGGACGTTGAGATCGCAGGCTTGAAGATCAGCGAGGCTTTGCCAGGTATGAGGCTAGCTCACGCCAAGACCGAACAGGCCTTGTCATCAGCCAGCAAGGCTCTCGCTGCGGTGCAGGACATTGTGACAGATCTTGAGAACTCTCGCATTTTGCAGAGTCACAGCATGAACACGCTGGAGAATTAGATTGACGACACGTACTGTGAGTACAGCCTAATCACAGTCGAGTTGCTACAGAACAGTCGCATTTGCCAGAGTCGAACAGTCGCATTTGCCAGAGCCGAAAACAAATCCTCCCCATCATTTGCAAGGTTAAAAGGTCAGCTCGTGAGTTTCTGCGTCGTGTGAGAGTTTGTTGAATGCCCATCAGGTGCACCTTCTCAAGATGCTTTGCGAGGCGCATTCTTGCAAGGTCAAAAGGTCAGCTCGAGAGTTTGTCGAAAGTCCGTCAGGCGCACCTTCTCAAGATGCGCCTTCTCAAGATGCTTTGCGAGGCGCATTCTAGCGAGGTCAGCTCATGAGTTTCTGTGTTATGTGAGAGTTTGTCGAAAGTCTGCTAGGTGCACCTTCTCAAGATACTTTACGAGGCGCATTCTTGCAGCTACCTTTGGCCCTTTGAGTGCGTTGCGCAAGTCAGTTTTTTTTTGATTTGCGGTGGTCGGACAAGTGTGACTCAGCCATTTTGAATAAAAAAGTGGATCAAAGTAAATGATGACAGACCAGCCTTCATTTTGGACGCGCCATTATGAGATTACCGCTGATGCAGCTGACCTGAGTACTGATCTCACCCCTCTGCTCACTGCTTTGGCTCCATCGTTCCAGGATTTGCTTGCGGTGCAATTACCATTTCACGTGAAAGCCATCGTGACATACAGGATTTCCAGGACAGTGAGGTTGACTGATGATGATGATGAGCTAGGAAGAGAGTCAGCATTTTGCTCACACACCTCCATGGGTTGTCCACCCAACCTTCAGCGTGGAAGAGCGGATCAGAGTTATGAGCGAAGAGCTTCTATACTTGAGCGAGCAGCTTCTCGATTCTGCGATGTTCTGGAGCAGCGAGTGGGCCATCAAGGGTGTGGAGAGACTTCAGTTGAAACTCTCTGCTTCGCCAGAAGGATTGCGCTTGCCGGCTCCGGCGGTGGGGAGGAGTGGAGGTACTTGGGAACCTTTGCCGGATGAGTTGAAGGGGCAGGGAAGCAGAGGGATTTGGAACCCCAAGAATCAAGACGAGCGTTGCTTCGAGTGGTGTGTTCGAGGTTTCCTACTAGGATTGTGCGAGGTGAATAGCGCCACACGGGAGAAAGCGACCCGCATCAACTGCAACTTCTTTTTCGACGAGAAGCGTTCTCTGAAGGTGGTGGAAGCAGATTTTAGAGACTTGCCAACTCCAACTTCTTTGCTGGACATCTCTAGCTTTGAAGAGCGGAGCGCGGGGAGGCTTGCGATCGTGGTGTGGAAGTGGATGCACATCGAGTGGGAAGGTGCAACATTCTTTGAGGAGACTGTCGTGCGCACGCCCACTGTGCATGCTCGACAGAACGCTCTACACGTGATCAACCTTTTGCAGCTGGAGGGCGGTCACTACTGCTTACTTCAACCGAAACTGACGGAACACGACCGGAAACTGACGGAACACGACCGGAAACTGACGGAACACGACCGGAAACTGACGGAATACGACCGGAAACTGCCGGGACGCTACCGAAACTGACGGAACTGCCGGGACGCTACCGGAACAAGACCGTCAAACGCGAAAATCGAAAGCCTGCACTGCGACTTGCTGAGATCTGCAGCGTGCGACACCGTTTTGAGACGGTCCTGCAGAAAACACGCGGAAGTTCGGCGAACCTGGCAACGCGAAGCGGAAAACGACAACCCGAACATAAACTGACGACCAAGTGGGGCTTGAGACCCCCGTAACCACTCTCTGGGCCGACTGACGAGGCGGGGCAGGCCGGCAGCTGTCAGGCAGCACAACTTCCTGGCGCCTCCAAGGCCCTACTTTGGACCAAACTGGAAACTTTGCATAAAGCGCTGGAAACTTGTAGTACTTTGAGTCGTGTTTTTGGGGAACCCTAGCATGATTTCCTGAGAGCACCCCAAGTCTCTCAGACGACGTCATTATAAAAATCTAAATCGACCTGCCCGAGCAAGACGTCGAGACCGCAGAAGCCTCAGGCATTGAGCCATCTAACAAGGGTTGGACATCTGAGGTGCGCTCAAGACAGCAAGGGTTGGAGTGTTTTCCTTGCGCAAGCACGCCATCTGTTCACGTGACTTGCCGGGTCTCTGCAAATGGCTGACACTGTCACCCAAAAGCCTAAGAGCTACTTGTCAATGCCGATCGGAGCTTCACACCCACCATGCGCTCATTTTGCTTGAGGGTGGAGATGTACCGCGGGCCATAGGATTGTCCTTTGATCCCCAACTTCGAGATCACGCTCTTTGCCGCGCCCAAGGTGTCCAGGCTGAGGTAGGTCTTCAGCGCCATCGTCAGCTCCGTGTGGAGGCTTGCTTCCTTCAAGGGCACCAGCTCACACATCTCTGTCATGAAGGCTCGGGTTTGGCCTCCTCGTCCTTGTCTGCGCATGGGACCAGGTCCATCTTCATCTCCGGTGGCTGCGGATCTTGGTGCGGGTCTTGAGGCGACGGCTTCAAGGTGAAGCTGACCGTTGTCTGGCAGACTCCGCCGCAGCATCCCATCCGGTCGAGTCACACGGGGAGCTTGTTGCCACCAGCAAAGCCACAGGCATGAAGTCCCGGGGACCCTTGTTGAGCTTCACCTTCCATGTCACAAAAGGGCTTGATGAAGTCATCCGCCAACGAGTAGTGCACTGGCCCAGGCCAGCCGCTTGCCTAGAGTCCTTGCATGGTAAGGCGCGGGTCCGTCCTTTGCGGTCAGGTAGCGAGTCTGTTGCACCACATAGTTTCCCGGAAGCTGCATCCTTCCCGGAATTCTGGCTTCCCCAGAGATGTAGTACATCTCGCAGAACCGCGGCGTCGCAGGTCATGAGACGCAGCTCGTGCAGGACGGAGTCCCAGTCCCCGTACACCTTCATGTGGCGGAGGATCTCGCACCCGTCCTGCTCCAATTCCTCAAAGCACTCGATGACCTGTTTGCCATTCTCGCTGGCCTCGAGCAGACACACCCCCGTCTCCACATGCTCCTTCAAGAAAGCCAGGATGTGCTCGAAGAGCTTGGTCGCCTTGCTCGGCTGCCACATCTCTGAGGTCGCCTTTGCGTGGAAGCCCATGCGGTCGGCGGGGGAGTGCTTGCGATTTTTTTCGGTCACTTGCACGGAGCAAAAGGACCCGCGGCAGTGCTCGCGAATTTTTTCGGTGATCAGTCAGTTTCCGATCGTGATCCGCCAGGTCGTGATCCAAGACGTGATGGAAGCTTTCAGGAACACGACTTTCGATCGGTCAGGATCGTCGCTGAGGGTGAGGATACAGCTGATAACTTTTCTTGCACGGATCCCTCTATAGTCGTTTACAGCAGCTAGACTTCGGTCTAGCCAGAAACAGCTAGCTTCGGTCTGCCCAAGACTTCGGTCTGTCCAAACCACAAAGGGGCAGGCTTCGGTCTGCCCAGAAACAGATAAAGGGTGGACTTCGGTCTAAAGGGTAGGTTTCGGTCTAAAGGGTAGGCTTCGGTCTGCCCAGAAACAGCTAGCTTCGGTCAGCCCAAGACTTCGGTCTGTCCAAACCGCAAAGGGGTAGACTTCGGTCTGCCCAGACAGTCAAATGGTGGACTTCGGTCTAAAGGGCAGGCTTCGGTCTGCTCAGAAACTGCCAAAAGGGCAGGCTTCGGTCTGCCCAGAAACTGCCAAAAGGGCAGGCTTCGATCTGTCCAGAAACAGTCAAATGGAGGACTTCGGTCTAAAGGGCAGGCTTCGGTCAGCCCAGAAACCGCCAAAAGGGCAGGCTTCGGTCTGTGCTTATAAAACAGCGCGGTACTTTGAAAGGGAACACTGAGATTTTGAGCCAAACAACCTCCTGTTTTAGGAAACAACATCATGGCTGATGCTCGCCAACAAACTATCAAGGCTGTGTACGAGGACCCTCGCACCGGCTTTGGCAGCATCGACTTGACTTGGAGGTTGGCGAGAGCGCGAGACAGAACCATCACACGTCAGGAAGTAGCATCATACATCAACGGCTTAAGAGTTCAACGTGATAGGCCCCAGCGTGGTTATAACTCCTACGTTCCACCGCTCCCCATGCATCAGCTGCAAATAGACCTAGCTGACATGAAAGCTTTTGGAGCAGTCCCATACCCCTACATGTTCGTGGCCGTGGACGCATTCACAAAGAAAGTTTCCGCGATACCCCTGAAAGACAAGAAAGCTTCAAACACCGCACAAGGTCTTCGGAAGGTTATAAGCGAACTAGGAATTCCTGCTCACATCTACAGCGATGATGGTACGGAATTCAAAAAGGAGTTTAGGGAAGCCTTGGAATATTGGGACATCAACAAGCTTGTTACAAGGGGTCACGCCTACTTTGCTGAGAGGATGATTCGCACCTTGAAAGAAGCGATCCTACGGCGAATAGCTGCGGGGGTGGGGAGGCGCGGACAATGGCACCTGCTGCTACCTGACATCATTTCTCAGATTAACGCTCGAAAACAGAGTACGACCAAAGTTGTTCCAAACGAAGCCTACAACGATTCCACTAAGGCTCGGGAAGCGAGGCGTAACATGGAACTCGCAGCCAAGCACAATGCGCCTAAACGTCCAGAAATCCGCGTGGGTGACTACGTTCGCGCGCGGAACAAGCCGGTAGTGCAGCGGGGAGCCTATAGGGTTACAGAGTCAGCGTGGAGTGAAAGGTCCTACAGAGTCGCAACCGTTGAACAAACATGGGACCCATGTTCACATTGGAAGGATGGACAGGAAAAGTTCAAGTCAGGGGTTTGCAGAAGGTGAGGGAGGATGATGGAGCTAGGGGAGCATTCCAGCCAGTGCGAAGGAGACCTCGCCTACCACCAGCGCGCGATCGAGCACCACCAATTGTCTAAAAAACGCGATCAAAAATGAGCTCAGGACTGACGCCGTAGCGATGATGACCTGTGCAGTCGGATTGGGTATCAAACAAATACATGCACTCCAGCATGTCGAACACTCACACAACTATCCAAGAAAAAAAAGAGTTCAGGACTGACCTGTCCAGTCAGCTTGGGCATCAATCAAGAAATGCTCTCCCGCAACATACAACTGAGCAAGCTAGTCTTTGCAACTTCCAGTCGGTCGTCTATAGCCTCTGACGGGCACTGCTGTAAAGGGTCAATCGCTGCGTATAGCGATGACCGATCTCTGTTCTGTAACGTGCATGCATGCATGATGTCAAAGATCAAGCATCCTGACATGAGCGAGCGCGTTTGCGCGATAACATCCAGCGCTGATCATTCATGATCTTCCGGATGGGACTTCCCCACTCTGCATGTTGAGCAGGCGGTTCAGCCAAAAAACTGAGGATATTCTGTACAAGACTCATCCTGTCATCCAGTCGGTAAAGCAGTGGCCAGTAGAGGTTGCGGCAGTGTCCATGAGGTCGACAGTAGCGATTCGACAATTGATACACCTTGTCATTCAGCGGACACAGGGTGAGTGTGGGAAAGCTCACCTCGTTCCCCAAGCCATCTTGCTGAACCTTCAGGCACAGCTCGTGTGAAGCCTTCATGTGCCTTAGCGGCACTCCCTTGCAACGGTGGTCCTCCTTCAGCTGTGAGTTCTTGCAGTGAAATACGACCTTGCTGTGCTGCTTGGCGCACAGACCCACCCACTCCAACATCACACCGGGAAAGCTCTCATCACCGAAGGCTCCAAGACGCTTCTGAAGTCGGAGCAACTCCTGCCTCTCTTCAGAATCAAACTTGCCCAGATACTCCGCGACGTCCTTACAGTCTCCCAGCAGATCGAATTTTGCGTGAGGCAAGTGGAGATTGGCTTGTGCAAGAATCTGTCTAGGATCCTCCCCCAAAATCAAGCTGTCAGTATCTGTGCCCAGCGCTCTACTCAAGGGAAAACAGGGCTTGAAAGCGCTGTAGTAGTACCTCATGAGCATCAGCCGAGCTAACTCGAGCGTTCGCCATCCAATCTGGATGGGGCTGTTCAGGAGTTTGGGCTTTCGACCTATGGTGCGCACGTAGCCAAGAAAAGTGTCGTCTGAGACAAAAAAGTCGTAGTCCACCATCCTCGGATTGGCTTGCGCCTTCTGGAAAGCATTCACGTTGGTGTAGACTGAAGTGTTCTTGAAGCGACTGCAATCCTGAACAGTCTTGCCATATATGGAGTTCATGACCAGCTTCAGCGTCTGCTCTCCGTCAGCATGACCTTCAGTCCTCACAACACTCCGTTTCTCGTAGATCTTCTCCATGAATGGCTGTAAGATAGGACTGCACATGAAGGTGATTGCCTCATGCAATCTCCACACTCGAGCTCCCAGCTCATTGCGCATGAAGCGTAAACGCTCTGAGTCGACAGCTTCCCGTTCATGCATCCCCAGGTACGGTACCAACTTGCGGGTCTTTGGCAACCGCTCCGGAGCTTCCCGGCACACTCTCATGCGGCAAGGTGGAGCGAAGTCCAGACCATCATGAAGATCTTCAGGGAAATCAAAATCCAACACCAGTAAAGTGCAGCTTTGAGGATCTGAGCCCTTATCCAAAAGGTTGTGGAGCCAAACCAATCTGCTGCTGGGTTCCTCGGGCAAGGTCACAGGTACGGCTCTTCCCGTTGGCATAGGCTCACACATACAGGCAGGATACATGCTGTTCACGTCGAAGTAGAACAAGTACGAAGGCCACTTGGAAGGCTGGAAGGTAGGGATCTCCTTGTGATTCGCTCTCGCGTATGGCTGCATCACCGCCGACAACCCCCCCATGATGCCTTTCCGCAAAGTCGAGTAGACCTCGGCAGTTTCGGGCAAGGAGATCGGCTGCTTGAGACTTCGCAGCAGAGCGTGCCAAGAAGCTCCTGGAAGTGTCACATACTGCACCAGGTCAAGGTGAAAAAAGCCAAAGAACTCGCTCCGAAGCGCTGACAGCATGTCCAGAAGCGCCAGGCAGTCCATATGCAAGTAGCAATCGTGGAACTGCTTAAAAGTGGTCCAGCGCATGAGGTCGCGCGTCAACTTCAAGCTTTCGTAGGTGGCATCGCAGCACTTCTCATTCTTGAGGGCGCTGTCATAGGCTTCTTGCTCCCAGACAGGTTCCCTGAGCCATGCTTGTGGTCCTTGAAACTGCTCAAACGGCATAGGCAGCTTTCGCATGAGAGCAGTCCAAACTTCATCCTTCCTCTCTGCTGAAACTCCCTGGAGCTCAGGATCGGCAACCACTGGAAAGGTCTCTTCCATACTCTTCTTGCTCTTCTTCTTGCGAGTTTCGATCATGGTGTCCAAGGATTCCTTCACGAAGTTGGCGCTGTCCAAGAACTGCAGAGGACCAAGCCAGAAAGAGAGGCAACGCTCTCCGCTCTTAACTAGAACTGAAAAGGCCATCCGCTTGTAGTCGCCAATCATTCTAAGCTTCTCTTCATACTGATAGCGCAG